TCCAGAGCTGTGGTAACATGCTGGATTGGTTGGATAGGCAATACTTGTCCAATGGAGCTCAAATTTGGATATGTTGTAGTTAACATCCATTGGAACAAGTCTCATGAAGATCATGACCTCATCCGAGCACCAGAGCATGTTGATCCCAGGCCAAGAAGTTGACCTACGAAAATGAACAAAAACAAAGTTTATAACCAATAATGCACTTTTAGCTCATTTTTATCCCAACCAAGGTAAAATCTAAGAAAACACAAAAAGGAAGTAAAAAGCTATAAAATGTCAAGAACTAACTCAAAATAGTGGGTGAATAACATGAAAAATCATGTGTAAAAATGAACCGAACAGTGTACATATTTATATGTATGTTTGACATGTGTAATTTTGGGGTTGGTCAATTTACCAAGGAGACTCTGCCAAAATTTTCAGCAAAAGTCAAACCCTAGTTTTAATTGAATTTTGACTAGAATGGCAATTAGGTCACTTGTGCCCGACACTTGCCAGGTGTCAGACACGCACAGGGTCCGGCTCGGATTCCAAAGTGGAATTTGGGTCGGGTCTTGTCATGTTTTCCGTGCCCTATTGATGTGACCAAGAGCATTGAGTTAGAGAATGACATTATTACATTGTAATTCTAATTGAATAGTTCTCCACCTTATTCCATATTGGTTGGGTAACCATGACATGTTGCTAGTGGTCACTCACAGTTTGTGGAAGCCCTAAGGACATGTCATAATTAGGTCCTCATAATAGGGGGAATTAAAAAGGGGTTTTAATTCACAATCGATTAAGAAAGAGTTCAAATCACCCACTGACTCGCCAATTAGAACCTAACGGATTGCACACCCATAAAGGTAAGAGATGGAAAATTAATTAAGAGATGATTAGTACGGATTAATTAGTTAATAGAGATTAATTAATTAATCACGGCTCGTGACTTGTATTGGGCTCGGGACTTGTAAACTTAGTTTGAGAGGTTCAAGGCCCATTGCGCTTATAAAATGAGATGTGCATGACAACTTAAATGGAGAAGCCCAAGAAGCCCAATAACAAGGGAAATTTGACTACCATGTTCATATGGGTCATGGGTGACCCAAATTAAAATGCGCTTGCCTATAAATACATAGTTATGGGATTAAGTCATCTTAGGGTTTTTGGATGATGGGAGGTTAAGGATGCAACACCATGCTCCTCCCTCCCCTCTACCATGGTCGGCCACCACTAGGACCTCCACCTCCTTGTGGTTCTTCATCTCCTCATCTATCCTCTTCCTTTGGTGTGTATGAAGTTAGAGGCCAAACATTTGGGTGGCTTTCTTTTGGAGAATCATTTGGTGAAGGCCCTCCATGGGTGATCAAACTTGAGCTTTGCTAAATGTAGTGCTTCAAAGGTATAAATAATTCTCTACTCTCTTTCTAGTAGTTTATAGAGGTGTCTAAGTACTTCAATCCATTTAGGCCTAAAGATACTTGGGTTAGATTTTGTTTTTAAGCTCAAAGTTTTAATCTTTGCTTCCGTTGCCTAGAGCTCAATAGCACCAGCACATAGGTGCAAACAGATCCCGAGTCGGAGTTCAAACAAAAAAAAGTTACGATCGAAGACACAAGGTCCATACATCGTGAACCTACAATTCTCGATTTACGTTAATTGATCATCGTCAGCTTGTGCAATCTACAAAGATCCGACCATTGTATCGTCTCCAACACTTACTATGTTGGTATGGGTGTTTATAGGATTAGGTAGGAACTTGCAAATCGAGAATCCAAGGTTCGTAGGAGACCCTACGAAGACCCGATCGTTGGATTCTGGCCAAGTTAATAGGATGTGCTTCTAAGATTCTTTTTGGCCCATTGGAACTTACAAATTGGAAATCTAATGTTGAGAAACCCGAGTCAGTTTCAGGAGATGTTGTTTTGATGTGGGGCCCATGTGATCTCTAATAGTAACTTTTGGTGAAACGCCCTCAACCATTGTGTTTTGTTGTTGTTAGTGTTTATGACTCAATTCTGAAAGTTGGGGGATGAACTTGTCGGTTGGAACCCCAGGTTGATCTTGGGAGCATCTTCGTCATTTACGCACTAAGATACGACCGTGAATTCACTAAAGCCTAAATTATAAATATAATGGCCTGATTTGGATTATGATTACACTTGTATACTCATTTTAATCTAGTAACTTTTTAACCCAAATTATGAGTACCCTTTCCTACCAGTGGTTACTTAGAGAATGTGTGATGTGTCTCACACAAGTATATGACCAACATACCTGCTCTATTTGTGTGCATGTGTTTCAAACAAGTGTATGACCACCAGATCCCTGCTTTGCTTGTGGGAAGGTGTTTCCCACAAGTATATGACTAGCATATTCCCCTCGATGCTTGTGTGAATGTGTTTAACACAAGTGTATAACAGTAGATTCCCTGCTTTGTTTGTTTGGATGTGTTATGCATAAGTGTAGGACCATCTTAATCCCGCTCTACAAGCCTTTTCTCTATCTTCCTTTAGCATGACTGGTTTTTGGGTGGGTATTAGGTCACTTAGGCCACTTGGTCCAAGTTGACCATGTTGACTCTTTTAGAGACCCAATTTCTCTAAGCCTATTGGGCCTCCATTCCCAAGTCAGAATTTTAAGGCCCATTTCATTTTTTATGAATTAATATAATTAATTAACTTTTTAATTAATTTTATTTATAACAAATTAATCAAACTAATTGATCTAGCTATTGATTTAGTCATCTTCTATAACTACCTAAATTACAAGCTTTTCAGTGTGCAATCTATTGGGTTCTAATTAGGAAGGCAGTGGGCAATACTTAAACTCTTTCTTATCGATTGTTAATAAAAAATTCTTTTAAATTCTCAATATGATGAGGACCAAGTTACAAAATGTCCTCAAAACTTTGGCAAACTGTGAGTGACGTCTAGCAACATGTCATGGTTATCCAAGCTAAATAGAATGTCTTTGGATAACCCATTCAATTGGAATGACAAAGCAATTCGATAAGGCAACCATGGTGCCTCAGATCTAAGGACTAACCTTACGCTATTGCAATCAGTGAAATCTTGTATGACATGTAATTAAAACTTTCATATAAGATTTCTCATTTGATCTCGTTCAATGAACTCATTATCTAGCAAGAACCCGTCGGAAAACCGAACCACTCCTCTTCTCAACGATCGATTTCGGTTGTTGTGACGAATTGATTGATATCCACATCGGTTGTGGTTCTAGATACTCAATATCATCGGTTACCAAAACTGACCTCTTCTTCTCTGTCTCCCTCTCCAACCCCATTGCTCACATCTTGAGCAAAATCATGTCACATGACTTGTCTCCACTTCTCGCATCTTTTACTTTTTCAGATTTTGAGGTTGATATTAGGAGGTATATGGTGGCGCTATTGTTGACATGGAGATGGTAGCAACATCACTTGTGTGGCTGATATGGAAGAGTTGTGCGGTTGTTATGGGTTTTAGATAGACCTGAGGTTTCTAAGAGCATCTCCACCCACAAGGGCTAAGTCTAGGGCAAGGGCAAGCAAGGG